AATATTGATAATGTAAACTTGATATTAGAACCTTTAACACCCTTACAAAAAATTAAGTATATTTCTTTCACATATTATATATAATACAATAAGCATTCTATATTGTTTTGCATATTATATGACACATTTAATTCAATGTATTTTCTTGGATATTTGTGGAGGCAAAAGCAATTAAAATAAATTAATTAAATAATTTTTTTCCAGTAACAAGTTCACAGAAATATTGTTAATGTAAAATTGATGAAAGCAACTTTAACACCCTTACAAAAAAATAAGTATATTTCTTTCACAAATTATATGTAATACAATAAGCATTATATATTGTTTTGCATATTATATGACACATTTAATTCAATGTATTTTCTTGGATATTTGTGGAGGCAAAAGCAATTAAAATAAATTAATTAAATAATTTTTTTCCAGTAACAAGTTCACAGAAATATTGTTAATGTAAAATTGATGAAAGCAACTTTAACACCCTTACAAAAAAATAAGTATATTTCTTTCACAAATTATATGTAATACAATAAGCATTATATATTGTTTTGCATATTATATGACACATTTAATTCAATGTATTTTCTTGGATATTTGTGGAGGCAAAAGCAATTAAAATAAATTAATTAAATAATTTTTTTCCAGTAACAAGTTCACAGAAATATTGTTAATGTAAAATTGATGAAAGCAACTTTAACACCCTTACAAAACAATAAGTATATTTCTTTCACATATTATATGTAATATAATAAGCCTTTTATGTTGTTTTACATTGTCACATGTAAATAAATGCACTTTCTTGGTAATTTGTGGAAGAAAAAAGCAATTAAAAAAATTAAAATTGCCAGTGATGGGTAGCAGCTAGAAGGGCATCCGCTGTGTAAAACAAATGCTGGATAAATTGGCGGTTCATTCCGCTGTGGCGACCCCAGATCAATAAAAGGACTAAGCCGACAAGAAAATGAATGAATGAAAGTTGACAGAAATCTAATACTGATAATGTAAAACTGACGAAAGCAACTTTAACACATTTACAAAAAAATAAGTATATTTCTTTCACAAATTATACGTAATATAATAAGCATTATATATTGTTTTACATATTATATGTCATTTAATTCAATGCACTTTCTTGGTCATTTGTGGTAGGCAAAAGTAATTAAAATAAATAAAATAACTTTTTTTTTCAGTAACAAGTTGACAGAAATCTAATATAGACAATATTAAATTAAAATTAACAACTTTAACAGCCTTACAAAAATATAAGAATATTTCATTCACAAATTATATGTGATAAAATAAGCATTATATATTACATATTATATGACACATTTAATTCAATGCACTTTCTTGGTCATTTGTGGAGGGCAAAATCTATTAAAAATAATTAAAATAAATACATTTTTTCAGTAACAAGTTCACAGAAATATAATCTTGATGATGTAAAATTAACAATAGCAACTTTAACACTTAAAAAAAGAAGTATAATTCTTTTACATATTACATGTAACATAATGAGCATTATATATTCTTTTACATATTAGATGTCATATTTAATTCAGTATACTTTCTTGATTATTTGTGGAGGCAAAAGCAATTAAAATAAATAAATAAAATAATTGTTTTCAGTAACAAGTTGACAGAAATGTAATATTGATAATGTAAAATTGATGATGGCAACTTTAACACCCTTACAAAACAATAATTGTATTTCTTTCACATATTATATGTAATATAATAAGCCTTTTATATTCTTTTACATATTATGTCATGTTTAATTCAATGTACTTTCTTGGTTAAAAGCAATTAAAATAAATTAAACAAATATTTAAATGTAAATTTAACAATAGCAACTTTAAAACATTTACAAAAAACTGCATATTTCAAGTGTTTTTATTCAGTTAAAGTGTATATCTAATTTTAAGTATATAGAAACTGATACTAATATCATTGTACTAATGGTACTTGGGACTAATTTAGCCTATTTTTACAGGATTTAAGCATACTTTTAAGTACACGTGTGTGTATGAAACCATCTAAACTTAAATGCAACTACAATAAAGGTTTCCTTATCGCTGTATTAGTTAAAATACATTTTAGTTCAATAAAATACACTTCGATGCATATATTAAAGGTTTTGCTGTTGTTGTTTTTTATACAGCAAGTGTGACGTGCAAGTAAAATGTGTAAGGCAGTGTTAAAAAGCATTTTATTAATTAAAAGCAATCTATAAGTACACATCTTTAGTTTTTAGTTTTAAAAAGCAACTTAACCACATGTCTGTTTTATAAGTGGATATTTTAAATGATGTGGCAAAACCCAAAATACCTGAAATGCAAAATTGTGATTTTATTTTCTTACATAAAAAAATGAACACTGAGGTGGGGTTCGACATCTGGTTTTTGTCGAGCACGATATCTCAATCTCTCATTAGAAAAGTTTCAGGCATTGCACAATGATATCCTTATTCAAGCTGACGTGTACAAGCATTGCATGTTGTGTACAGTGTTTAAGGGAGGACGCTTTAGAAATGAAAACGCAACGATAACCTGATATGCTGGGTTTTTTTTAGTAATATTAATTTGATATTAACACAAGTTTTGGACATCTGCATTTTGTCTTTCAGACTCAGTTTTACAGGAGCGATGCTGCTGTTCTGGATTGCATTATGTCTTATGTGGCCTGGTACAGTATACTCCTAATCTTATGAATTTATGAATCTTGCAAATCCTGTCAAAAACATTTCAGGGCTTTACTAATAAGTTATTTTGTACTGTACAGTTGGTGCCAATGATTTTGTACTACAGTGAAATTGGGAAATACAGCTTCCCTCTATTTTGATATTGGTGTGAAATGTGACGTGGACATGTTTTGTGAGATTCACCCTCTTTCTGAAATTGTTAATTCTTAGCAATGCAAAATCAGTTAAGTTTTTTTTTTTACTTCAACTATTCCATTCAGTGCATTACTAGCTCTTTAATACGGAAATAATACGGAAAACCAAAATACGGAAACTGTTTCTGGGTTTTTTTGGGTAAGCAAGTATTTTACAGTACTTTAGAAATACTCAAAAATGCATCTGTCAATGTTTTCAAACTATTTAATTTAGCAAAGTCACACAAGTGGCAATTTCACATCTCTCACATACATAACAACACTTTTTTCCATATAAATCTGAAAATATTAAATAAAATAAATCTTTTTTTTATATAAAGTGAGCCAACATTTATCCTTTTGATTATCATTGTTTCTTTTGGGTTGTGCAGTTTAATTTGCAGAATTTCTACAGAGTTGTATACTGTAAACCCGCAGGCTTTTTTTTTTTGTCACATCCATAACTCATGTTTATTTTCCTCATTTAAAGTTCAAAACATGTTTACAGATTGATATTTTTCTGATCCCTTAACAAACTTTTCCCCAGTGCTGTTTAACAAAGACATCTTTTTCTAAAATAATTTATTAAACATAATAGCAAATTTATTTTGTCTTTATTACAGTCCATACTATTTAATAGTTATGTTGAAAGACACTAGTATTTAGTTTAAAGTGCAATTTAAAGACTTGACTAGGTTTAAGTTACCTATAGGCAAGTTAGGTAGATTAGGCAAGTCATTTCACAACAGTGACTTATTCTTTAGCCAACTGAAAAAATAAGTTTCTTAATCATTTCTAGTTAATTATGTTTAATTATATAAATAATATAGAAAGGGGCTAAAATGTATTAATTAAAATACATATTTAACAATTATTGATTTTTTTATGTCTCAAAAGGGGTTTTCACACTAGTTATAGTCATTGTAAACCGCGCTTACCCCGGGTAACTTAAAAGACTAACAAATAGTACCAAACTTGTGACGGGCTAAAATGCTTAGCACCGACAGTCGGTCAAGAGCCTCATATACATGTGACTGTCACGACACCGCTCGTTGTAAATAAAGATATATTTATAGCGTCTACTGAGAAAAAAATTAATTTGTATTAAAGCAGATTCCAGTAATTCCAACCATTACAGTCCGAAAAGTCCATTCGGAAGCTCAACCGGAGTCAACGAGTCGCGAGCTGCGTTTATCCAATCAGTGAGTCCGACACCGCAAATAAGCAGGTTAAACTAAGGCTAACCTCAGCATAATATTCCCAGGAATAAATTATTGCTAGGATATATGCATAGGCCTTCTGTGCTCGCCTGCATGTTTAGGGAACCCTGCCACCCAGTTAAAACAGTAGAAATAAAAAAAATATATTTAAATAATATATGCATTGGAAACAGTAAAATCGAAACGCGGTAACGATTTCCTGCAAAAGCCTGTAACTTGCTGAAAACCGTTTCATACACGTTTATATTCATGTTTTAGACAACACATAAGTTCAGAAAGCAACAATTGGTGGGATAATTATGATTTTCAATCAATCAATTAAATATTTAAGAAAAATTGCCATTGTTGAGAAGGGTAGGAATGGGAATCATAAATAAACAGATATTTATAGGTTAAATGACAACATTTGTATTTTCTTTTGTATTTCAACTTACATATTTGCAATATATAAAGAAAACTGCAGACAGTTGTAGGCTACATACCTACATAAAAGCACTATAGTAATTTAAAGTAAATACTATAATTAATTAGTGTTTGTGTGTGTGTGTGTGTGTGTGTGTGTGTGTGTGTGTATATATATATATATATATATATATATATATATATATATATATATATATATATATATATATATATATATATATATATATATATATATATATATATATATATATTAACATCAGAAATTTACTTTACTATAGTATACAACCCTAAATCAGAAAAAGTTGGGACAGTATGGAAAATGCAAATAAAATAAGAAATTAGTGATTCCTAAATTAACTTTGACTTGTATTTCATTGCAGACAATTCAACAGACATTATTTAATGTGTTACTCATGAATTTATTTTTCTAAATAAACACATGGTCCAATTTTAGTTCCTGCAACACATTTCAAAACAAGTTGATACAGTAAAGCATTTACCACTTTGTAATGTTGCCATTCCCTATCACAACACTTTAAAAGGCGTTTAGGGATTGAAGACAACAAGTAATGAAATGTTTCAGGTGTAACTTTGTCCCATTCTTCCTGCAAACAAGTCTTAAGGTGTGCAACAGTACGGGGTCTTTATTGTCACATTTTGCACTGCAAAATGTGCCACACATTCTCTATTGGACACAGGTTGGGACTGCAGGCAGGCCATTCAAGTATGCAGCTAGGACTTTGTAATGTGTGCAGAATGCGATTGTGTATTGTCTTTATTGAAATATGCATGGGAAAGTTACCTTTGCCAAGAGCACTAACACAAACCCATACTTTGACAGAGCCTGGCTTTTGAGCTTGTTGCTGGTATCTGTCTGGATGATCTGGCACACATGGCGTCCATTTCTCCCAAAAAATACTTGAAATGTTGATTTATCTATCCACAGTACATGTTCGCACTGTGTGATGGTCCATCCCAAATGCCTCCAAGCCCAGAAAAGTCGAGGGTACAACTGGACACTGTTAACATAGGGCTGCCTTTTGGCACTGTACAGTTTTCAGTGGCATTAGTGAATTTAACTACGAATTGTGGTACTTGACAAAGGTTAGCCAAAGTAGTCCTGAGCCCATGTGGAGATATCGCTTATAAATGAATGGTTTTTGAGGCAGTGTCACCTGATGGATCGGAGATCACGGTAGTTCAGCTTAGGCTTGCTCCCTTGTTATTTGCTGACTGAATTTCCTCCAGATTCCTTGAATCTTTTAATGTTGTTATGCATTGTTGAATATGAAATATCCAAATGTCTTGCTATTGTTTTTTTTTAAATACTTACAATAGTTTTCTCACATATTTGTTGGCAAACTGGAGATCCTCGGCCCATCTTTGCTCCTAAAGGACTAGACCTTTCTTCTTCTTCTTCTTCTCATGAGTTTTATTGGCGGTTGGCATACAACTTTTAAGTGCATTACCGCCACTATCTATCCATCTTTAGAAAAAAAAAAAAAAAAAAAAAACCTACACCACTTATATCTATATTCTTTTATCTAATTTAGACATTTTTTAAAAAAGAATTAAAAATTCTATACTGTCCTCTTCTGACTTGTTGTTTAGTATTTTAAACAAATTAAAATTCATATTAACTCTTTTCAAATTTAAAATAGTCTCCTTTCCCTATTGTATTTTGGACACTTCATAATAACATGCTCCACGGTTTCTTCTTGCCCACAATAATCACATTTTCCAGTCTGATGTTGATTCATTTTGTACAATGTACTGTTAAGTCCTGTATGTCCAAATCTAATTCTTGAAATTATACTCTCTTCCCTCCTACTTCTACTTGTTATTCTTCCTTTATCCACATTTCTTTGTATATTAAACAGCCACCTACCATTTTTTCCTTCCTCCCATTGTTTTTGCCACCTATTTTTTTAAAAGTTGCTTGATTAAAACCTCCATCTCACTTTTACTATATTTTATTTCCATGTCTATAATTGATTTTCTTGTAGCTTCTTTAGCGCCCTCGTCTGCCAACTCATTCCCTGTTATTCCACTATGCGCTGGAACCCAACAGACCTTAACATCTAATCCCATCATCTGAATGCGATATAGTGTTTGCAATATCTCGATCAGTATATCTTTTCTGCTTTCAGAATGTCCACTCTCTAACGTCATCATTGAGGAATTTGAGTCTGAACATATCAGTGCTTCTAATGGTCTGTTTTCTTCAACCCATTGAAGTGCCATTAGTATTGCCACCATTTCTCCAGTATAAACTGATAGATCATCTGAGATTCTTTTAATAACTTTTATTCTAAAATCCATTACTGAATATCCTACCCCCACTCTGTTTCCACCATCTTTAGATGCATCTGTATATATTAAAACATGATTAAAATATTTGTCTTTAAGATACATTTGCACAAATTGACATTTACATTTACATTTACATTTAGTCATTTAGCAGACGCTTTTATCCAAAGCGACTTACAAATGAGGACAAGGAAGCAATTTACACAACTAAGAGCAACAATGAATAAGTACTAAAGGCAAGTTTCAGGTCTGTAAAGTCTAAGAAGGGAAGTGTTTTTTTTTTTTTTTTTTTTTTTTTTTACAATTAGTGTGATATTCAAAGAGGCAATTGCAGCTTAGGAAGTGAAGTGGAGACTAAATAGTTGAGTTTTTAGTCGTTTCTTGAAAATAGCGAGTGACTCTGCTGTTCTGATGCAGTTAGGGAGTTCATTCCACCAACTGGGCAGATTGAGCGTGAGCGTTCGCGAAAGTGATTTTTTCCCTCTTTGGGATGGAACCACGAGGCGACGTTCATTCACAGAACGCAAGTTTCTGGAGGGCACATAGATCTGCAGAAGTGAGTGCAGATAAGAAGGTGCTAGGCCAGAAGTCACTTTGTAGGCAAACATTAGAGTTTTGAATTTGATGCGAGCAGCAACTGGCAGCCAGTGCAAACGGACTAGCAGCGGAGTGACATGTGCTCGTTTAGGTTCATTGAAGACAACTCGTGCTGCTGCATTCTGGAGCAATTGAATATTAAAATTGCCCTCTGCACTCTTATCTCTTCTCTTTAACAATGATGCATCAACGTTGGGTTTTGGTAGTAACCATTCAGGAGTAATTGACCAAGGTACTGTTGGACTGATGAACAATCCACCCAAAACTCTTGATTTCTGACTTTTCTTTTTCCCAGCAGGGTTTTAACACTTCCTTAACTGGATGATCAAAGTTATGACCCTCTATATTGACCCAATAGTTCATTGTCAATTGAATTCTCCTAAGTTCTAGTGGCACTTCCCCAGTTTCAATCTGAAGAGCTGCTGTAGGGGTAGACCTTATAGCCCCTGTTATTAATCTTAATGCCTTATACTGAATTTTATCTAGTTCCCTTAACATACTTGCATTAGCAGATTGAAATACTATACATCCATAATCCAGTACTGATCTTATTAACCCATTATACATTTTTTTTCATTGCAACCCTTTCAGCTCCCCAGTCTTTACCCAGCAAACATCTCATTACATTCTGTGCTTTGACTAGACCTTTCTTTCTTGGATGCTGCTTTTGTACCAAATCATAATTACGATCACCTGTTGACATCACCTGTTTCAAATCACATCACCATTTAACCAATTTACCTGATTATTAGCCCTAAACTGCTCCTGCCCAACTTTTATTTTGCAGTATGTTGCAGGTCTGAATGACTGGAAAGGATGAAAATTTACAAATGAAATGAAGCTGACCAGACAAAATATGAAATATGTTGTGTTAATACAGTCTTCACTGAAATACAAGTCATAGTAAATTTAGAAATCACCACTTTACTTTTTATTTGCGTTTTCCCTATCTCAGCCTTTTCTGATTTGGGGTTGTATAGTTTAATAAGGCTGTGCTTTAAGATGTGCTCAAGTTACGAGAAAGATGATGTGGAAGATAAGCAAGCAATAAATCGTATACAAGTCAACATTATAATGTATTAAATGTTGCTTTTTTTTATTTGAAGGCACACTCAGCTTCATGATGTTCAGCTCCAGGGATGGTCTGTGTCTGGAGGACTCATCTGACAAAGGGCTTCAGTTAAAGTCCTGCAGCCTGGATTCGGTCCTGCAGCAGTGGATGTGGACGGACCAGCAGCTCCTGATGAACGCAGGCTCTCTGAAGTGTCTCTCCGCCATCCACAGCGACCCCGTTCGGACCGTCAGCTGTGAGTCTGCTGAACAGATCCAATGGCGGTGCAAAGATCAGCAGCTAATCGGCCTGAAGAACGGCCTCGTGTTGAGCGCAGAGAGAGGAAAAATCACACTCAGCAGAGCAGGACAACACATGTGGAGATCTGTGGACACAGCTGACATCTGCCAGAAGACACTGAGTGAGTGGAAGATGAACAGATACACATTTTTTAAAATAAATTCCATAGTTAAGCTGTCTGCATTGTTGTGTTTTGGTTGACATATGGGTTTTTGACTTTCAATGTTTGACGTAATCTCAACTGAAACATGAAGGAGGATGAAACATACAGTAGCTCCTCCCCCTTATAAAAAAAACAGCCAATAGGTTTGGCTCAAACCCATCAAATTAATTAATAAAGAAGGTGTTAATAAATTTTATTTACCCAATAACATTTATTGGGTAATTTAATAAATAATATGAATAATATTAGGTAAAATTATTGATTTTACATTAATGTGATGTTTTGGTTTAGGCTTAGACCCTAATAAAATACAATTAATGAATAATTTAATAAATAATATAAATAATTATTGTTAACCTCTGGCTACAGCTGTATCCCTTCTAACAACAACCATTCAAGATCGTATGACTAAAGCCCCCTGTGAAGCCCGTTACATTTTTGTATTAGACTTTTTTTTTTTTTTACATTTTTAACTTTTTTTGGAACCACTTTTTATGTTTTCTTGTCCTTTGTTGTGACACCCTTATTTATCAAAAATGTCCAAAAAGTCATTGAGAAGAGCAAGGATTTATTCATAATTTCATTTAAAATAAATATCACTATATGAAGATAAATGTCAAACAATCAAGATAAAAAGCTCTCACACTGTTTTTACAACAATAAAACAATAGAACCATTGAAAGATGGATGGATGAGAAAACGATAGATAGACGGACAGATGGATGGACTAATGGATGGATGGTTGCTATGAGACAGAGATGATGGATGGATGGATGAATAGAATAAGAAAACGATAGATAGATAGATAGATAGATAGATAGATAGATAGATAGATAGATAGATAGATGGATGGATGGATGGATGGATGGATGGATGGATGGATGGATGGATGGATGGATGGATGGATGGATGGATGGATGGACAATTGGAATGAGAAAAAAGTAGATAGATAAATAGATGGATGGATGGAATGAGAAAACAGTAGATAGATAGATGATACACAGATAGATAGATAGATAGATAGATAGATAGATAGATAGATAGATAGATAGATAGATAGATAGATAGATAGATAGATAGATAGATAGATAGATAGAAGAATGGACGGATGGACAATTGGAATGAGAAAAAAGTTGATAGATAAATGGATGAATGGACGGACGGACAGACAAACAGACAGACAGACAGACAGAAGAACGGACAAATGGACAATTGGAATGAGAAAAAAGTAGATAGATAAATAGATGGATGGATGGATGGATGGATGGAATAAGAAAACAGTTGATAGATAGATAGATAGATAGATAGATAGATAGATAGATAGATAGATAGATAGATAGATAGATAGATAGATAGATAGATAGATAGATAAGCTATTTCTGCCCCATGTTTGCAATATGAAAAGAAACTCCTCTAACCTTCATCAATATACAGTACATGTGATTTTTCCTGATTATTCTCAGGATCCAGAAGGGAAAGTGATTTAGAGACAGACGAGTTTGACTTTGCTGAAACGTCGTCGCCTGAGCAGAGAATGACAGAGGCACAGATGAAGTTTTTACAGTGGTATTACCGCACTGAGGACCGTGAGTGTACCCAGATTAATATTAATATTTCAAATGTTTGCATAATTTTAAAAAGCATCAAAAATAAAATTGTGCATCACATTAATGCTCTCTTGTTCCACAGCGACACCGTGGAAGTTTGGCATGCTGGCATTTGCTTTTCTGGGTCTTCTAATTGGTGCTATGCTGATTGTTATGGGCATGATGGGTAACAGGTTAGTAATAGTGACCTACACAAACCAGCAAACTAACCTTGTGAAGTTCACAATCACAAAAATGTTTATAGTATAAAAAAAGTCAAATCCCACCAAACACACACACATATACACTATACAGTGCATCTGGAAAGTATTGATAGCGCTTGACTTTTTCCACATTTTTTATGTTACAGCCTTATTCCAAAATTGATTAAATCTATTTATTTCCTCAACATTCTACACACAATACCCCATAATGACAATGTGAACAAAGAGTTTTTGAAATTGTTGCAAATTTATTAAAAATAAAAAACCTGAAAAATCACATGTACATCAGCATTCACAGCCTTTGCTCAATACTTTGTTGATGCACCTTTGGCAGCAATTACAGCCTTAAGTCTTTTTGAATATGATGCCACAAGCTTGGCACACCTGTCTTTGGGATTTTTTGCCCATTCCTCTTTGCAGTACCTCTCAAGCTCTATCAGGCTGGATGGGAAGCAACAGTCTACAGCCATTTTCAGATCTCTACAGAGATGTTCAATAGGATTTAGGTCTGGGTTCTGGCTGGGCCACTCAAGGACATTCACTGAGCTGTAAAGCCACTCCATTGATATCTTGGCTGTGTGCTTGAGTCATTGTCCTGCTGGAAGATGAACCGTCGCCCCAGTCTGAGGTCAAGAGCTCTCTGAAGCAGGTTTACATTCAGGATGTCTCTGCAAATTGCTGCATTCATCTTTCCCTCTATCCTGACTAGTCTTTCAGCTCCTGCTGCAGATAAACATCCCCACAGCATGAAGCTGCCACCACCATGCTTCACTGTAGGGATGGTTTTAGCTTGGTGATGAGCAGTGCCTGGATTTCTCCAAACGTAACGCCTGGCATTTACTCCAAAGAGTTCAAATTTAGTCTCATCAGACGAGAATTTTGTTTCTTATGGTCTGAGAGTCTTTTAGATGCCTTTTGGCAAATTCCATGTGGGAATGGCTTCAGTTTGTACCACACAGGTCTTATTAGTGGATTGCTGCACAGATGGTTGTTCTTCTCTCTACAGAAGAACGCTGGAGCTCAGACAGAGTGACCATCTGGTTATTGAACACTTCCCTGACTAAGGCCCTTCTCTCTCCATCACTCAGCTTAGATGGCCGGTCAGCTCTAGGCAGAGTCCTGGTGGTTCCAAACATCTTTCACTTACAGATGATGGAGGCCACTGTGCTCATTGGAACTTTCAGAGCAGCAGAAATTTTTCTGTAACCTTCCCCAGCCTTGTGCCTTGAGACAATCCTGTCTCTGAGGTTTACAGACAATTCCTTTGTCTTCATGCTTGATTCATGCTTTGACATGCACTGTCAACCCTGGGACCTTATATAGACAGGTGTGTGGCTTTTCAAATCATGTCCAATCAGCTGAATTTACCACAGGTGAACTCCAATTAAGCTGCAGAAACATCTCAAGAATGATCAGTGAAACAGAATGTACCTGAGCTCAATTTAGAGCTTCACTGCAAAGGCTGCCAATACTGATGTACATGTGATTTTTCAGCTTTTTTATTTTTAAAAAAAATTGGCAGCAATTTCAAAAACTCTTTGTTCACATTGTCATTATGGGGTATTGTGTGTAGAATTTTGAGGGAAATAAATGAATTTAATCCATTTTGGAATAAGGCTGTAACATAAAAAATTGAGGAAAAAGTGAAGCGCTATGAATACTTTCCGGATGCACTGTAACGGAAGGGACACTATGAACCTTTAAAGCAGACCTACTATGCAAAAGTCACTTTCATAAGGGGTTTAAACACAGTCATGTGGCAACAGTGTGTGAATATAACCAGCCTCTCATCATTAAAATTCAATTATTGACAGCCTGCAGAAACACTTTGATTGGCATCCTCCCTTTGTACGTGTCATCAGAGGAGGAAAGCCCCACCCATTTGTGATCATCTTTCATTCATTAGCATAAACAGCCCTGAGTGAGAAGCAGTTATTAGAGTCTTCTACAGCTGAAGACAACCCAGGCTCATTCTGAAAACGTAGTCCCGTGGACATTTCTGAAGACCGTCCCGGGAGGTACGAATGGCTGCATTTCATTTTTTTTTAAGTGAACGCTACGGGGCGGTATGAAGCTGTTCCCTTACGCTCTTACCGGCTAACCGCTTACCTCCGTGTGGAGGGCTTTCCCGCTGCAACCAGTTTGTCCAGTCAGCTCATCATGTGCGTTGGCAGACTTCAGATGCAGAGAGGAGTTGACCACGGCGACCAGGTTCGAGTCCGGGGAAGCACGGTTCTAGAAATCAGGTAAGACAAAAACAGAATCCAAAAAATAAAGTGAACGAGTTCATAACAGGGTGAAAATGTGATGAAATCTGAAAATGTGGTAAAAAAAAATCAGACGAGGGCTTTTCTTTTTCTGGATGGCTTTTCTAAATTGTTAGTTGGGTTTAGAGGAGTGGGCGGGCGGGTCAATTAGTAAAATTGGTTGGGTTTAGGGAAGGCGGATGGTGGGTCAGCCGATTGGCCGGTCGCAAAGTCAATCATTCAGTCAGACAGCGGCCTCTGGTAGGTTCATGCGAGAACACCGCAGGCGCGAACGGCACTCACGAGAGACATTTGAGATACGAAAAAGTGCACACAGTGGCCTCTCGCGGATTCGTGAAAACAAAAACTGCAAAAATATGTACATCCCGGGACGTATTTAACGGTCTCCAGAAACGTCCACGGGACTACGTTTTCAGAATGAGCCTGGGTTGGCAGAAGATGATGTCAGCGACAAAGAGCATAATCTCATTTGAATTTAAAGCGACAGTCACCAAAACAGCACAATTAGGATCAAAGTCTAAACTGGGCAGTTTCAAGGAGTTCTAAAACATTATCTGTGTGGTATTTTTAGCTGAAACTTCACATGCACACTCCAAGGACACTAGAGACTTATTTTACATCTTGTAAAAAGGCGCACAATAAGTCCCTTTTAAGCAGAAGGAACATTGTTTGGTGTCAATACATGGCTTTCAATTCAGAAGGGCTCATTCATATTCTATAATCTATTCAGAGGAACCATAAGAAGGGATTAGGGCATATGAATGAACTCTTCCAAATTGAACACAGTAAAAATCTCCCGTATGTCTCCCACTCAGGAACAGGAAGCAAATAGCCAAATATAAAGCATCCACAAAGGTGAAAGAGGTGAAAGCTGAAACGGAAGAGCTGCAGGTCATCATCACTGACAACAACGAAGAGAAAACACATCACAACACAACACACAACAGTGGAGTCTCAGACGAGCTTAAGCCGGGAGAAATCATGGTGACCTGGAGGGACGGAAATGTGTCTACTCTTTATCCTGAACCTGCGGATGAGAGCCAAGCTGAAGAGGACGTCCTGAAAGGGAACGAGGAGGCGTATGAAGACCCTCAAAACACAACACACGTAATAACATCGTCTGAGACCATCGCCTTTTAGTTTAGTCCTACTGTTTGTGGTCGAGATTCACATTTTTGACTATTTTAGAGTTGAAATACAGCTGAGGGCGAAACAGTTTTCCCCTCATATACAGCAAAGGAGCTTTTTCAATGTACATTTATTTTAAACATGATTATTGCACTTGGTTTTCATAGTCCAAAATATATACTTTATATGTAGCATCAGGTAATGTACACTGCCCAAAAAACAATAAATCATTTTCTTTTACTTAATTTTTTTATAACCATGATGACTACCATCTATTTTTTCTTGTTTTAATGAAAAGAAAAGAAAACCTAGTATGTTAAATCTTTTTACTTTATATATATATATATATATATATATATATATATATATATATATATATATATATATAAAGAGTTAAATGTTTATAT